ATGCCCTAGGATAGGGTTCTTTGATCAAATGGACCTAGTGAGCGAGGCCTATCTTTCCCATTAATCTCCTGATGTGGCTCAAGTTTGTATTGTAGGAAAAGTCATACGAGTCGTCGGTGAACGGATTTTGGATCAGATCCAACCTTAAAGTTAACTCACTTTGACCAGACTTGAAACCCCCAGCCACCAAATCATTTTCACACTACGTACCCGAAAAACAAAACAAGTTAAACAATAGGGTTCATTTTGCACTTGTTTCTAAATTTAGATTTATGTAATTACTACATATATAACGTACCAAGAAACGAGATCTTGAAAGCTAGAGCGTAGAGACTCTTATTTTCCGTCTCAAGAAAAGAGTGATCCAGTTTCTTGCGTCTCAAGAAAAAAGTGTAATATATAATAGGGAAATCAGTTCAATTTCTTTCTAGGAGACCAATAGGCATCCAATGATCCAAAATTAAAACTTACAGTATTTGTTTTATTTGGTAATAATCACTTCACAGCCATATAGTTTATGCCATCAGCAACACAACTTTGTTCTTTACATATCATGTAATAATGTCTTTGTCGTTCTAATCAAGCTATAAAACTTTTGTCATGTGTTAAAATTTATTTCAAATTTCAATCAATAAAAATATGTTATTAGATTGAACATTCTTTGATTGATTCGAATTTAATATCAAGTGCTAAAAAATTAAACAAATATGTCCAACAATTAACAAAAAGAATTGTTCAATGTATCTTTAATTTGTTAAGTTTGTAGTTTAAGGTTTGGTTTTTTTATTTTTCAAAAAGAAACTTCCAATTAATTATTCTCTCTGTGTGCAGAAACATGATTCTTCTCGTTCGCCGCGTATAGGAAATTTGCGATTATTCTAGATAAGCGTCTAATAATTTGCTTCAGCCACAAGAAAAAGACCACTATTCCATGTTACACAAGAAAACGATTTTTTAAAACCCCACGATAATTCTAAACCCCATTAATTGATCAGTAGTATATAAATATTTTTAAATATATTAATATTATTTTTTCTTCATGCAATCAATATATGAACTTATATATTTTGTACATAAGTGGAAATTTAATTGAAATCATTTGTTTTATTTCTTCTCAAATTGCCTTAATTAAGGGTGTTATAATTTTGTTTTAAGCGAAATCCTAAAGGCAGTCGAATTTGTCAAAATTCTTTATATTTTTTGTAAGTGATAAAATGAATCAAACGGGGAGATTAGAGTAGTTGTACGGAACGGTGTTAGAAAGTTTGAACAAACAAAACATTTAATGATTCCGTACAGTACAGATCAGACCACGAGGTAGTTGACAGTAGTACAAAACTCTAGTCTAGATAATGACAACGATATCTACACTTCTTTTATATGTCGGTACGTACGGTACGTCT